AACTAGAGCGTAGAGATTAATCTACTCGCATACAACTAGCTACTTTTGAAAAAAAAATGCTCAAAAATGCTCAAAAATGCTCAAACCCCACAGTTGAGTAAGGATAATCTCTTTAACAAAACCTTGAGCATGCCCAGATCCCATATGGGCGCCAGTTCTAATTCCGGCAGCTCCACTTCCCTTCCAGCTCCTGCTTGTGGCCCAGGAAAACAGTCAAGGGCAGCCCAAAGCTTTGGGACCCTGCACAGGCGCGGGAGACCCGGAAGTGGCTCCTGGCTTCGGATCGGCATAGCATCAGCTATTGTGCTCACTTGGGGAGTGAATCATTGCAGGGAAGATCTTCCTCTCTGTATCTCCTCTCTGTATATCTGCCTTTCCAATAAATAAATAAATAAATCTTTAAAAAAAAAAAGCTGTCCATCATCGAATGAATGGATAAAAAAACTATGGTATAAATACCAGTGAAATGTTACTCAGTCATAAGAAAATTAAATTCTACCATTTGCAGCAAAATGGATTCAGCTGAAGGACATAACATTGAGTAAAATAAGGCAGATCCCAGAAGAGAAGTACAGAATGTTGACTCTTTCATGTGGGAGCTACAGAAAGAAAGAAAGAAAGAAAGAAAGAAAGAAAGAAAGAAAGAAGGAAGGAAGGAAGGAAGGAAGGAAGGAAGGAAGGAAGGAAGGAAGGAAGGAAAGAAAGAAAGAAAGAAAGAAAGAAAGAAAGAAAGAAAGAAAGAAAGAAAGGAAGAAAGAAAGAAAGAAAGAAAAGAAAATGTCTCTCTGTTTCAACATTGCTGCAAATAGAGCTTTGTAAAACTTTGCTTTATGCCTTCACAGAATCAATGATTAAGAATGTTTTAATGATCTGTGATTTTTATCTACGGCCATTCCACCCCGAATGTGCCCAACCTCGTCTGATCTGTGATTACTTCAAAAGTCTCTTTATGTGAGTTAAATAGTTGTTTTTCCACTGAATTATTGCTTACATGCACTGTCTATATTTCAAATATACTAATGATTTTTTGGTTTTTTTAATTGTTATTAACATTGTATTATGTGATACAGTTTTATAGGCACTGGGATTCCCCCCACCCCTCCCACAACCCTCCCCCCATGTTGGACTCCTTTTTTTTTTTTTTACTTGTTAAGCTTTTTGATGAATTATTAAACCTTTTCAATGCAATGTAAATTTAAAATATCTCAAAACTAACAAAATGATCGAAAGGAAAAGAGTGGGAAGAAGGGGATAAAGAATTAGAAAGGCAATGATATTATATATTCATAAGTATACCTAGAAATCACATTTAATCTGAAGTTAAAAAGAAAGTGACAATTCAAAAAATGCAAACAAAAAAGTAACATTCAACATGGTGCAACCCAAAGGATTTGCAAGCATGATGGTGTGGTATCTCCCAATTCCAGGTCCATAGAATATTTTGCTTCTGCCTTGCTTTCTCTTGGCTCATTCATTTCTGGAGCAGTCAGTGGCCATGTTGTGGAGACACACAGGTACCAAGTGAACAGCCACATGCCTGAGCAGCTTGCTGATAAGTCTGTCCCCCTATCAGTTTTTCGGAAAGCTGCAGTGACAGTAGTATCGCAACCTCAAGGCTGACTTTAAGGTAGAGTCACCTGACTAAGCAATTCCAAAATTCCTGATCCACAGCCACCACATGAGGTATGTTAACTGTTATTTTAAGTCGTTTACTGGTAAAGGATTTATTATGCAATAGATAACTATTATAAAATATTACCTGGAAATTTTTATCCTATAAGCATTTTATATAGCAATAATTGCATTTGCTTTATACTACTGATGTTTAAAATTGGTGAAAATTGCTCAACTACATGAAATGAAGTCATAAATACTTCTGTTTCTTCAAAATATGAGATACTGATTCAAAATAAAAATACTAGCTTTATGAGTTCACTTAAGCAGCATCTATCTGAAATACTAATTTGTGACAGTAACTCATGTGCAGAAATTAATGAGGCAGTCCTGTCCTTTAATAAATATTCCCTACTAAATAAAATGGGCAAATAAACATGTGTTGAAATTTAATGAGTCAATGTTTTAAAAATATGTGCTTGGGGCCAGCATTGTGGACACATCACATTAAGCCAGTAACACTGACATTCCCTATCAGAGTGCTAGTTTCAGCTTTGGGCAATCCATTCCTGATCCAGTTTTCTCTAAGTGTACTTAGCGGGATACCGTGCTTGGTGGGGTAGTGGACCATGGTCAGATTACTTGAACACCTTTAATTCACCTGAGTTTTGTCAAGTTTCCGGCTCCTGGCTTCAGCCTGGTTCAGGCCTAGCTAATGTATCAATGTAACAAAAGTTCTTCCATTCGCTCACTCCCTCTCTCTCACGCTCTTGCTTCACTTTGCTTTTCATGTAAATGAATAATTAAGAGTATGGTATAGTATCATCTTTTTATGAAATCAAATGATACTTCACAAAAGCAAGGGTAGGTCATAAACATGAATAAGCCTTCTCAAGATAGAAAATTGAAGAATGAATCTCTTGTAATAAAACAATTTGTATTCTAAGCACTTAAAATACATTGCTGCATGATTCTTTTAAAAATTTTATTGCATAAGCATTATATTCCCTCTTTCTTAGATAACGAAACTGATGCACAGAGGGTAAATGTCTTACTACTAGAAAATACCTTAGTATTAGAAAACAATAAGTCTGAGGTACCTTTAATATGAAAGAAAAAATCAAGTATCAAGGCTCACATTCTCAGCTACACAGCTATATATTCCTTCTGTTGTCTTGGGAACTGGGCTAGGGGTAGGAAAGACTTTCATGAACAGAAGCAGCAAGGAATGCTGAAACGCATTTTCCTAGAACTAGAGGGGAAAGCACTCATAAGCATAAATGGAAAACAGGAAGGTTTATTGCTAGAAGATGAAATTTGAAGAACTTAGACAAACACAAATCTCACGCCAAAGATGAGCATATAGTACTTAAAAGATATTAAGTACTTTATCAATTTTTTATAAAAGTCTATTTAGATCATTATCAATGGAAAGTATTAGAAAGGTGCAACATATGAAACTCATCAAGTAAAGAATTATAGTGACTACTCAAGTAATGAAGACAATTAAAACTGACATACTAGTTAGTTTTTTTCAGGCAACAGATAGATGCCTAAATTGTTAATCAACTGGAGAGGAAGAACCACAGAGAAGATGTGCTGAATAAGCATATACTGAGAGAAGGAAGGAAGCAGCAATAAAGTCTAAGCTGTTTTTGTCTTTATCAAGTGAAATATCAGTGAAAGTTGCTTTCCATAGCATCTAAATAGACTTGAGTGAAAGTTCTGCTATGTCTTATCAGAGTGTGTGATACTTAAGTAGTCTAACCTGACAATCTCATTGTAGGGTACTGTATATATATATTTTAAAGAAGCAAGTATCTTCTAAGAGTAATTTCTTCAATCTTCTAAGAGTAATATATCCATATTACATAATATGGATATATTGATTTTTATTTAATGATCACTTTTTCCATAACTAAAATAAATAAAATGATAAAAATAAGAAAGGCAGATTAAGTCTAGAGTAAATGCAGATCCACTGGAAATAAAATTTCCTGGAGCCATACAACTGTTTTTCTTTTAAAACTCTGTGGTAATTGTATAATATCAGCATTTAACTCTATGTTTTTAGAGCCTATGTCACATGAGATACTAAAGGCATTACCTATTTGGAGCAGACACATTTGGCTGTGGTTGAACAGCTGTTCTGACTTCCTTGATGTCCTTGGACTTAGCCAGTGCAGGTGACTGTACAGCTGACCAAGCTGTCATAGTTACACCTCCATGTCAATAAGCCCAAGGAGGAGATTTTTATGGCTTCATGATATTTATTTTGATAACTGGCATTGCTGCTTTATGACACATGCAGTAAGGATTTGACGATTAATAATTGAGTAAACACAGTATTATTGAATTCATAAAAGACAAGTTATACTATTTGTATCATCTTGGTCCTATTGATCTTTAGTTCTACTAGAGAAAGCAAATGAAGATGGAAGAGATTCATATTTAAAAGCTTGCATAAAGAGCTTAATGAAATGTTTTGTTTATGATAAAAAAATTATGAACATATTCATGTAATATCTCCTGAACACCCAAATGATTCTTTCATTTAGGAAATCATAGTCAATAGAAGATGTCAGATTAAGAAATATATAAATATAATTCTGCAAATATTAAAAGTGTTTGAACAAAAAGCTGAATAATGTGCTCTGATTGAATGGGGAAATTTTCAAAATCTATTTTCCCTAACTTGTATGAGTAATACATGTTTTGCAAAAAAAAAAAAACATATAAACTTCCAATATTTTGTCATCAGAATAAAATTTTCAATTTATGCATAGTATTTCTGAAGTTTGCTCCTATCATTTCTGTTTCACTCCAAATTTGCAAGGACACACGGACACTCAATTTTTAGTATCACAATTCTGGTAAGTATTGGGAAAATCTTTCAATATTATCCTCAGGTATTCACAATAGGATAAGGCTTTGTAGGAATAACAAAAAGTGTATCTAGAAAGAAGCTTGTGACCAAACCATTTTTGAACCCTTTGTCCAAAAGGTTTTTGTTTGTTTGTTTTAACTTACGTCCACTAGAATTCAGTATGGTAATAAAAATAATCTTTGTTATCACTTGGTAAAATATCAGTTACAAAACTGAATCTCCACTCAAGCTTCTTGAAATCATTATTATTATAAAACAGTGTCCTTATGTCTTTACTCAACCACAAAAATACAAGTATCAATTTCATTTTTGAATCAATAAGAACAAAATTCCAAGAAAGGGAACAGGAGGCAAAAGGAAGAAGGACACCGACTGAGGAGACTTTCAGCACATTCATGGGTATTTTAATTCTCATGCTAAAAAAAGGTGATGAGATACAAGGCTGCAGCTGGAGAGAGCAGTTTCTGCACATTTGAAAGCTATCCCTTCTGGTTCTCACCTGAAAAGTTCTTGTAATCCACCAAATCAAACATAACGATGGCAACTGCTGACCATGTGATAATCAGAGCAATGACCAGGAGCCAGGCGGCCGGGGAGCTGAATGTTGTTACGAGATCTTCCGTCACTGTCCTCTTCAGCACTTTCCCAGGGGACTTGGGCACAGATCCATTTTTGCTGTCTATCACAGTTGTAGTTGTAGATGCATTTCCTAAACAAATGTTCAAAAAACAAAAACATAATTTTAAAACTTCAACCAAGTCCTGATGTAATTCACTTCTTGTAACACAGAAAAAGAGGAGCAAAGACTGCTGTTTATGCACAAAAGCAGGTGGTATTTTGCTCCATTAGCAAAGTTACAAAGACGATCTATGGCAAATAAGGGTGTAAGATTATAATGTACCTCTTTACGTGGTGGAGGACTTGTGACTGAATATGCAGAATCCTTATAGTATAAATGCAGTTCATAAGAAAATTTTTAGGTATTGGGTGGAGAATTGAAAACTTCACAAGCAAAAAAATAGGTACGCTTCTCAATAAAATTCCGTTATTTTTAGTTCTGTAACCACAAAACAGTGCTGTCTTGCTCTTAACTAAGATAAACAACATAAACTACATGACTACGTTGTGAAAAGAAACTCAAATATGCTCATGATTGAACGTTTGTAATAGCAGCAAACCATATCTAATGTGATGACTCTTATACTACAATTGCAAGTTTACATTCTAGTCTTCAAAATATTACAAAAGCTAATAATGGATATCTATGTTAAAAATATTTAGTGAATTTTACACGTAACTTTAAAAATCAAAATAAAGAAATCTCTTCTTTTAAAAAAAAAAGCCTACAGAATTCCATATTGAAATTTCATAAGCTCAATTTAGTTAAAATTGTAACAGGATTAAAGAAATATAAGAGTTTCCGCATTCTGTTCATATGGTGGTGCTCAGAGAAGGAAAATGGGAAGAATTCATATCATATCCTTTCATTGATTCTTCAACTAATGGTAGTTCTGAAAATGGATGAATGATAGGAGTGCTTTGAAATGTGATTTAGAACTCAAGTGGGGCTACAAGCGAATCGAACCTTTGAGATAATGGTTTGAGGGACACTAAATGAGCTGTAAGTGTTTAAGTATGGCTCACCTGTAAATTGATATGTTGCTAATCTCCAGTTTTTAACCTCTGAAAAGCTTCCTATTACCAAGTGAGAACATCTGAAGAATTGCTTTTTGTACTTCAGATTCACTCTAGTGGGTTCTGCCTCAAAGCCCTTCCAAAATTGTGCCACATGTTTCTGCAGGATGTCAAGGAAGTGAAGAGGTCTCCTAGCTGACACAAATTAACCAAATCCTGGTAAGATTTTTAAGAAGTCATAACATTTCCAATATAACATGAATTCTTGATTTATGTTGTTCCTTTTGTATCAGAAAAAGGATAAGCCATATAAAATTAGGATGTAATATAACTCAAATTCCAAATTTGAATATTGTAGGTATTTGAATAAGTAACATAATATGAATCCCAAATTTGGAGTCACTTTTAAGATTCTTTCAGAACAATTATGATACAATTTTCACATAAATCAAACCGATAAAGTAAAAACTAAATTTCTTTCATTTTCTTTGACTACATATCTTCAGAATTTCCACTTAAGACCGGGAATCAAAGACAAAGGAGGTGTACCCTGAGGATACAACCATAAAGCCATCAGCAGTTTGAAAGTAATCTCAAGGTTATCCTGCTTAAAGGAAATTATATGTTGCCTTGTTTATGAAGCGCATTAAGTTGTACCTTTCATTTTCCATTAAAATTTACCATAGAAGCGACACAGTGCCAAGAGGAATAAATCTGTGGGCGGAAAATAAACTGTTTTCTCGGACAGCTGGTCAAGATAAACACATCTGAGATTATTTAACGTTTAAAAAGTGTTTTAAAGATGACAAGCACTAGCCACTGATATCATGAGGGAAATAAGTGGGAAATATTCCTGTGCAATTTGGCATGGGCTCTGCTTCTTCAAAACCAACATCTCAGACTTTCAAGAGAGGCCGGGATAGTGGCAATGCTTTCCATGCGTACGTCTGAATTATTTTGACTGCAGATTGTCAAAAGAAGTGGAGATCTGACTGAGAGGCCATGTGACCGTGCCGTGCAAAGTGAAAGGCTTCTGAAACTGAAGCAAACACTGGCCTCTTGGTGAGGTCATGCACTGAGAATAAACCATAAGTCTTCTGAAAGAAGTCACTTGACCTCATAATATATTATTGATCAGATGAAGAAACTGCCAAGTGCATTTGTCCATCACTATTGCACACTGGCAATGCAATCTCCAGCAGGAAATTTATAAAATATTCCATCTTTATTATGTAAAAGCCTAATTGTAAGTACTGAAATTCTATACGTGATGTGGTTTGTGTCTTATGCTTATGCTGTAACTCGCATTCAAGAGTTAGAGAGCAGGCCTGGGAACTGTGCAGGTTGAGCCGGGGCTTACCATACCATTTATCTAGGTGGGAGTTCCAGTTTCAGTCCCAACTACTCCATTTCTAATACAGGGAAGAAGATGACAACCTAGTGCTAGGTCACTCCTGGCTTCAATCTGGCCTAGGTCTGGACTTTCCAGCCATTTGGGAAGCAAGCCAACAATCTCTCTGTTTATGACTCAGTCATGTTGCCTTTCAAATAAGTAAAATAAAGATCATCACTGTGTCACTACAAGCTAAGCCATGACTTGCAATGTTAATATCTATTATAAGCAAAGGTTCTAGGCCTGGCAATATCACTTCAGGTCCCTGTCCTGCTAATAAGCCTGAGAAAAGAGCAGGCGATGGTAGAAATACTTGGAACCTTTCCACCCACAGGGGAGATCCTGTTGGAGTTTGAGGCTCATGACTTCATTCTGGTCCAGCCCTGACTGTTGTGGATATTTGGGAAGTTACCCAGGAGGTGGAAATTTCTTCTCTGTCTCTGTTGCTTTGTCTTTAGAAACAAATAAATCTTTGATAAATACATCTTTTAAAAGAAGAATTAGTGCTAAAGGAGGGAAAATAGAAATCTGTGACATTACTCCTAACTAGGGTATTGAAGATTTCTCTGCACACCCCTCCTAAAACTGTTCCGCACCTCAACTGTTGACAAATGCCTTGTTAGAGTTTTAAGCCAGTTTAGACTATCCTAAAATCTGCCAGGTTCAGCAAAATTATGCTTCAACACTATAAACGGCTAAATACTAAAATGAAATTAGACATGAGACAGCTGAATAGTACCCTGTAGCCACTTTAAGGTGTATAGAAGCCAGTTCTGCATATAAACTAAAATTGAGATGTCAATGAAGTAATCACAGGAGGTGGTTAAGAACTTGCATTGTTTTAACGCATTGATTACTCAATACCATGTCAATTAATTCCATAATGTTGTATATTGCTGTTGATAATATGTTGGGGTTTTAAATTGATCAGGATGATATTCTGCCATCTCTGCCTTCAGACCAGAGATGGTCTCCCCAAGAAACCGTTGAATTTATCTGGACAATAAGATGCTGGACTCTATGCTTGGTATACACTTACAATGAAGGAATCTTGACTGAATGAGCAACAAGTTGGAAGAATCCACCATGGGGGTAGGGCACTGGGAGGGGTTGGGGGAATCCCAGAGCCTATGAAACTGTGTCACATAATGCAACATAATTAAAAAAAAAGCACAAAAAAAAAATAAAGTTTACAGTCACATGTTGAAAGTACCCCTATTGTATTCATTGTAAATAAGAATCTTCTTAATATTTTATTGAAATAACTACATCATCTTCAAAAAGGGGACTGGAAATTTTTTTGGCTAGTTTCCAGGTATAGGAATGGAACTATAATCCAAGTCTGACCATTAAGAACATTCTCCCTTGACCTTGAGTGTGAAGGGGTAAAACAGTCTTACACATTGTGCATGTGTGTGTGAGTGTGTGTGTGTGTGCACGCGTGCTTGTATATATACATGTGGTTGTATAGCATTGAAAAGATATTTTCTTTCAGATGAGGCTACCTGGTTGTTACAATTTGAGAGGGATCTGAAAGATGCCAGTATTCTACCATTTGAAATTTCAGCTGCAATGTGAGAGTGAAAGTACTCTGCGCTAGTTTTGGGCTCATTGAATTTGATGTATTTCTGGGGTTTCCAATGATATAAGATTAGAAATTTGATTTTTGTCATGTTTCTGTTAGCACTTTAGGCATATACAATTATCTTCCTTTTTGTGGTCGTGCCATGAGAAATGAAAGTATGGCAACTAAATATGCAGTTTTGTTTATTTTAATACTATTTTTGAATGAAAATCTGAGGTCTCCTGTTTCTTGATTGGATCTGTCATCCAAGTGATGATTTGAAAATAAATCTTGCAGACTTTGCAATTTATCTTAGGTTGTGGAGGACTTCCTAGCAAAAGTTCACTTGCTCTATGTGGTAGGTTTGCTATGTGCCTAGCAGTAGTTCCTTACTGTTACTGCCTTGGGTGTAGACGTCTGCCACAAATATGTGGTGATAGCCTTACTTCCAAAGTGATAGGATATGGAAGCAAAGCCTTTGCAAAATGACTAAGTCCTTTAGGAATGGGGTTACTGTGCCTGTAAAAGAGACTTGAAGGAGACATCCTTGTCCCATCTTCCAGGTGACATTAGACTAGAAAGACTGACTGTAGGGAAAGTGAACCCGTTTTAGATGCAAAGTCTGTCTTGATCTTGAGTTTCCTACTCTCCATAACTCTAGGAACTACATTACTGTTGATTGTGTCACCTTGTTTTCAGAATTTTATGGTAGGAGCTCCAGTGCAGGAAGAGACTTGCTGTGCTCTGCAAGCCTACTTTTCCGTAGTCCTTGCCACAAAATGACAGATGTCTCTTCTTGTTTTGGCTTCTATGATACCATTTTCCTATGAGTTTTGCATTTATGATTTTCAATTTAGCAATTACTCAGCATTCAGAATACTAATTGTTTTCTTCAAAAAGTAAACTAAATTTAAATTCAAAATGTAAGGAAGCGTACATAGCCAGAATTTTTTGAAACAAAAATGTCCTTTATCTTTTGACATAGTCAGTTTTTCTTACTTGTAAAAGTATAACCTTTTATGATAAATAAAATGACACAAACAAAATTATGTTTCTCCAATAAGGCTCAGGGTTGGGAGAAAGTTGTTTACCCTTTCACAGTGCTTGGAAAAATAAT